CAACTCTTAGTAGAATAGTGAATTAAGTCAGTTTGTGTACCCATTTCAGTGTCTTTTTGCCAGTGGGGCAAAAAGAAAACTTTCAGTTCTGTGCATCGAAAACTGCGTCCTCCTGCACACTAGCTGAATGGCTTGTTTTTGAGTAGAATCTCTAAAGTATTTACAATTTCTTTTTATCTGTTTTTAACTTTTTTCTGAATTTCACAATTTTTAATGAAGATGTTTTGCGTTTCTATGTATTTTTGCCTTGCTGCGAAGTGAGAATTGAACTGATTGAATGAGAAGTATATCTCTAATGAAATTCGAGGAAATAAACTGAAGGTAAAAATAAATAATTTAAAAAAAATTAAGCTAAAAATGTGTATAATGTAATCAGCCGTACAAGGAAGTCATGTGATGCCCACATCAGATGTTTTTAATTAAGTTCATCGTCCGAAAATCGAAAGAGGAAAATTTTGTGAATAATTTAATTTCTGAGGACGCATTTATAGTAAAGATATATTTATTTCTATTTGGATTGTGTTTCCTTTATTATATATCTCATGTAACTTGAATCTCACCCGTTCGTGTTGTGTTTCTGCTACTCCTTAGACCTTAAATAATTCATAAATAATTACAGAATGTGAATGTGATGCTGACTAAGCAAAATCGTGGATTGAATGTTAATTCGTGCAAGGGCGTTCTTAGACATAGGCCACGTAAGCAGTCGTCTAAGGCTGTGACTGCCAAAGGACAACTTTTTTTAGCAGTTGGAACCCTTGGAGGCCCGAGCATGAACATCTCTCATTACTTGGGCGGGGAGGCTGAGACTCCTGTGCTAGTGGGAGGGTAGATAATGATGCGCCTGTCAGGACGTCGGTGCACAGAGCATACTTCATCTATAAATAGCCGAAGCAAGATGCATCAGAAAGCGTTTCGCAAAGCTGCACTTCTGTGCGTGATTCGCTTCGACCAAGGACCAAGGCGTTATGTTGCGGAGTAACTTTGCAAATTAATGCAATAACTTCCACATCAGCGTTATTAGAAATGAAACGGTTCAGAAAGAGCATACGGTAACTTAAAAGAAAAGAGAGCCGATGGTTAAGAAAGAGATCGATAAGGAAGTCTTCCATTACGGACAAAGGAGCATTTACCTGCAGTCAGCCACAATACGAAGCGCAAAGCCACCCGGGACGCGTAATGGCTAGATGAGTTATTTTAATTGGGATTATTTTATATAAAATTGAGTTGAACAGTGTTAGGCGAATTTCGCTTACTGCGCATGCTTGATGGTGTACCTTTGGCGCGGGGAGAAATATTGGCGACTAAGCAACCCTACGTTAGCTTATTCGTGATCTCCATGGCTGTCGAGTGTGTTCAAGTGATGTTTAAAATTGCAATGTTGTGGAACTTTGCTTATTAGTTATTTAACGTCCACGGTGCGTGCACTTGCTTATTTTCTAATATGTTTCATTTTAATTTGTCAATAACAGTGCATTTAAATTTGTTAACATTGTTCTTAATAATTCGTTATTTAATGTAATTGTTTACATGTTACAATTCAGTAATTGTAAACTGGAGTATCTCGCTTAGTTTGTTAGCGTATATTCGCGCTTTTATTTTCTCATTTCAAAAATTTAAACTAGCATTAAAGACTTGTAAAATTTCTTCAGTGTTATTTGCAAGCACTTGTTTATATTCCTCAGTGTTTCTTTATGTATGTACGAATGGAACGTATGGTAAATCTGAATTGTTTATTGCTTAAAAGTATAATGAATAATTTCAACTAATATATCCTAAGTTACAGTCTTTTTCTGAACGAAAATTGTACAGTTCCAAAGGATGTGCAGAATTTCATAAGTATTATATTTAATTTTGAATGTAAACACTGCTTCACATTAATCGCAAATAATTCAGCTTTCTAGTTGTTGAGCAGTAGAGCAAAAATAGTATTTTGACACAGTAATTAATTTACATTATACAATACGAAGATTTAAACTCCAGATTTGTTTACAATTAGATGGCGATACATCTACCATACACCGTATTTATCTTCTTTTCAAATCGCGCCGACATAGTAATTACGCCAAATTGTTTTCTGGACATGCGCAGTATGCGACATTCGTTTAACACTGTTCAACTCAATGTGCGGTCTGCCATTACGCCCCCGGGACAGGTAGTAGAAAAGTAAGGAGAAGGCAACCCGGCTCGCTCCAGCGTGAATGGATGCAGAAGAAGCGATATCAGATATAAAGAAGCGAGTCGAAAGTTTGCTTCGGGAAAGGTAAGTCAGGTTCTATCGTAACAGCGTTTGCTAAGAGCCTTGATCAGTGGTCTAGGGTGAGGCGAGATGTCATTGACCAAAGAACCAGTAGGCGAAAAGTTTGGAGCGTAAGAAGAGAGATCCTCAGTAAAGACTGCGGGGAGACAGAGTCAGTTTATTCTACAGTACTCGCGGTAAATTAGAAATTCGCGTATTCGCGTAGCTGATTTTGCTAGTGATTTAAGTGTAGCATTTATTTAGAGGTTTAAATCTGGATGAGTTATTTTAATTGGGATTATTTTATATAAATTTTAATAGGTTAAGTAAATTAAGATTAAGATAATTGAGATTGTAATGGCAGATAAGATGTGCATACTTAGAGTAAACTTTAAGTTAGGTGAAATAACAACATATTAAGTTGCAAGGAAAAGTTAAGATTGTCTGGGTGGTGACACTCGTGATGGTAGCTGGAGATGTCAGAGGAGAGGTCTAGGTAAAGGGCTATAAAATATGCTTAGTACGGGAGTAGAACCAATGAACATGTCTAGATTAGGTCTAGCGGGAAGTAGTAGTTTAGTTGGTTCTCGGGTTAAGCCCGTGAAGTGCTGGTAATTTGGATAGAGTCCTAAACAAGCAAGAAAACTCGCTTAGGCTTCCTATGGAAGATGTTAAAGGTTCTGTCCATGACAGCCCTAGTTTACTTGGCAAAGCTAGGCTCTCCCGGATCATAAGCAAGTATAGTATGCAAGATAGGATTGTCTATCTGCGCTAAGCGCTTAAAGAATTTAGCCGGAAATAGGCGTCAAAGGGAAGAATTTGGAAATTTGAATGCATCACTTTAGTCCGCACATACCAGTGAACATTTGAGAGTATCCCGAGCGTAACATGCTGGAAGATTTGAATTTTCTTGAGGTGTGAGTTGGCAGCAGTGGACCATACTATTGCAGCATAGGTCAGTATGGGTCTGATGGTACTTGTATATAGCAGTAACTTGTTTTGTAGAGAGAGAGGTGGCTTCTTCCAGAGATTAGTTTCATGAGTTGACATCTTACAGTCTTGGCTTTAGATATGGTTTTGGAGATGTGGATCCCACAGTGTAGCTTAGCATTCAGATGTACTCCCTAGTACTTGTATGATTCCACCCAAGGAATATCTTCATCGAAGAGCTTGAGTGGAGGAAGTAGATTGTGAACATTCCTCTTTCTGGATAGGAAAACGGTGGCGGCACTCTTAGAGATATTGACTGAGGTCATCCCCATGTGTATTTTTTGCTGTATGCGCGTTCAGAGTTGTCTAACTGTTCAGAGTGGTATAATTAGTCATCACTAATTTACGGACAACTCGATTTCGATTTTGTTCTCGGGTCCTCCCTGTTATGGAAATGAAGCGAGCTTATCACTCTGGTGCTGCTAAACGTAAGATAAAGGCCGCTGAAGAAGCTTTCATTGCGTCGCAGAAAGGAGCTTTGTTGACTATGTCGCTAGATTCACAGATCCAACAGCTTCTAGCCGCGACGCTATTGATAGTACGCCTGCTGCCGGTACATCATCAAAATAAAATGCAACAATGGTAGTAAATGATGCTTTTGCTGACGAACAAATACCCGCTATTCTCGATGAGAAAGTGAGTCAGCAGCCAGGTCACCGGAAAGAAGATGAATGCGGATAATAGTTCAGCAACGCGTGATGAAATGAGGCTCGGTGAGGGTGACAATGAGCAACAAGACCGGTGTTAGGGTCTTTGTATGAAGCTGATTAAACGATTGCTGCTGGCAGTGCTGGTCATTTGCATTCGCTGCCAGTACAAGACATTGAATATGCCAAAAAGTTTCTCCATCTGCTATACACACAGGGTAGGGCATCGCCTTGGAACCTGACTTGAGTGACTGCGTCATCTTATAAGATAGTGAAGAACAAGAAAAACGGCACAAGGACCGTGTCTCCCAGAGTGTTTCTTTTGACTTGAAAGATCCAGGAACATAGCCTTCATACATCTATGAATCCAAGCGAATTATCGTTTCTGAGGAGGGTCTTTTATCCCAAAGTTTTACAATAAATAAAAAAATTCAAATGTTCTTTCGGAAATGGCCAATTAACTCGCAGCCCGGTCGATCCAGTCACAGCTAATGAGGAGTTACACTTGTGTGTACTTTTGAAATAATACTTTCCCCTCTCCCTTTCTTTTTTACTAAAAAGTTTCTGTAAAATGTAAATAATCAAAACTGCTGCTCAAACAGATTTTTTTTTTTTCAAAATGATGAAAAATTACTCAGAATTAAAGACATGCATTTAATTTAATCAATTGAATTTATATATTTTTAAAAAATGCAAGTGTATTTTAAAATCCTGCTTTCTAATCCGGTATTTTACCGAACATAGGTTTTAAATTTTGCATTCATTAAAAATTTTGAGTACATTTCTTATTATTATTCTCATCCGAAGGATTAAAGAAAATTTAGGATTCGCACCATCTCTAGATTTTTAGTATGTTACTTTCACTGTCGGTTACAAGAGTTTAATAAATTCAAGAGACTGAATTTAATGTAACAGAATAAGAAATAAATATTTCAATTAGCATTTAAGAGTCAATGTGAAAGTAAAAATTCTCAGTATGTTTGCTTCCTTTGATTCCCATATTATCAGATGATCGGCGGCAAATATGTTCCTGAAGTGTCGAATGATGTTATCTCATCTCTTGACCTCTTACTTCAGAAAATAAATTTCCTACCCGATAAGATTTAAAAAATATAAAAGTCACACTGGTTTTCGCAAGAGCTCGCTCCTCATTGCTATTGTCAGTGTTCTGTTTTCAAGAAAGAGGAATACGTATATTTGAGGAAATCAAAAACATTAACCACCGGTGAGTTTCACTTTTATTTCATTTCTAATGTGCGACACCTTCCAGTATAGCTTTCATTCAATATATCATTTTACAACTAACGCAGAAATTCATGAAAAATTTTTAAAACTAGGCTAGTGAATCACTGCAGATATCAAATGTCGAAATTCTTTGCGATTTTAAGTAAGCTATATTTTTTACTTCCTTGTACGAAGTAAAAAGGAAGTATTCTAATCGCGAAAAGCTTCAGGCAGCATATTTCAACGAAAATATCCATTTTGACCGCTATCGAATGCAATTTAAGGATGCTTTTGCGTGACATCTGTATGTAAGGACAGAATAAAAGACTCCTGTCCTCCAAAAAAAATTATAAAACTGCTTTAAAATGAATTCTGAAGAGAAATTTTCGTGGCGTCTGAACGTATGTACGTACGTATCTCGCATAACTCAAAAACGAGCCTCAGAACGTTGAAATTTTGTTTATAGGACTACTATAACATGTAGATGTGCACCTCGTATTTTGGTTGCAATCGGCAGCACCAAACGTATATAAATATGTATATCCACTCTGTTACTCGGCTCAGTGATCTCAGTTTGTTTATTCTTATATGTTTGTAAACTGTACATTTTTTCCTTTAAAAATTATTGAATTATGTTTAAAAGCTGTTTAAGTGCGGTTAAGTTTTAAATGACATGGCGGGCATATTTGTTTACATTTAAAACAGCAGAAAAGTAGATTTGTTGCCAATCTAGAGAGACTAAGCTTCGCAACAACAAAGATAACGCCTTCATTTATTATTGCGAATTAAATCATGCTTAATCCTTTCTGGAATTTTTTCGAGGAAATAACCGTTTAAGATCTACTTCGTAATTTTTAATGCAGATATTTTGAGTTTTTATGTATTTTTGCCTTGTCGCGGAGTGAGAACTGAATTAATTGAATGAGAAATACTAAATCGTCTGTGAAAAACTGTTTCCTTTTTTTTTTGTTTGCTTAATTTCTTTTATAAATCTTTCTATAGATATATTAGAGTATTTGAATAGAATATGTGGCAATGATTAGGTAATTCTTCAAATGATATAAATTTGTTAAAGTCACGGCACCAATGTTCTGTTTCTATACCGTGCCGCGAGAATCACGGCACCAATGTTGTGTTACTACTTCCTCTTAGCGAGGAAACTAATGCAGAAACAGACAGGTGAAACCGTAACTAACTAAATACCAACTGAGAACTAAATTCTTAAGAGTTAGCTAATTTCCACATTTTTAGTGATCGTATAAATGAAAATAAAGTACAAATTGCGTTGTGTATTAAGCATCCGGGACCGTGCCGTGAGAGGATCGAATAAACAAGATGTAAAATCAATAAACACATAAAAGATATACAGAAAATATAAGTAATAGGTTTCCAGATTAAAATACAAGTTTATTCAAATTCCTCAACAATTACAATTAAATCTTATCCTAATCAGAGACTCAATCTTCTTATTTTAGTTAAAGGTTTCTTATTAAGATACAGTTCAATTTTCTTATTTTACACAGAGGTGAATTCTTCAATTTATCATTTTCTTTTTTTTTTTTTGTTACATTTAAATCAATGATTTGCAAATCTACTGTATGACTCTTTTAATTTAACATGAACCACTGCAGTAATTTCTAAGAGGTTAAAAGAAACATATTATCTGCAATTCAACATCTGTTCTAAGGATGATTACACAAACAAATTATATTTTTACATCCTATTTCATATTAAGACTTACAGGTTTGTCTCGGTAAATTAAGAAGGGAAAAGGGAGGCAATTTAGTCCTTTAGAATTAATTTAAAGATTCAAAGTTGTTTTTAAAATTCCAAGGAAGTTTCTGGAACCTTACTTAAAGTTCAGGCATACGTCAAACACAGAAAAAAGGACTTATCTTAGGTAGACATCTTGAAGTGGAGAACTTGTGTCCTAATACCACGCTGTCGACGAACGGCACTGCCCCTCGGTTACAAATCAAAGTTTTAGAGTATATCGTCTTGTCCTGGCACTATTGGCGAAACACACGGCCGGTAACTGGTTTTTCTAACGACGAAGAATTTTCACTCTGGAAGGCAAGAGAACTGCTGCCCCGCACGGCTGCCTGCCTGGACTTACAGCTCCAACAGGACATCATAGACTATGAAGTGAGGTATTTTTTTATACAAGACCGAAAGACATTGTCCTCGGTTTTCAGATAATGGCATAGAGCAAATCTGCGGCCGGATAGCATAACTGCCGTTCCCTGTCGTAAGCACAACTGGAGGATGAATAACTACCCTCCTTTATTCATCACCAGAAACTTAACTTCCACACCTCACCTTCGAAAATGTCGGGCCAAAAGTCTTAAATCTTTCAGCAAAAACTCATCCATCTTCAATCTCGCCTCTTAGCCAAAACGCGGCCGGGGAGCATATTTGCCGCTCCCCGCCGGAAACACATCACGAAAATTACATCTCCTTTTCTATCGCTTTCAGCAAACCCCCTCCAGCAGCAAAACTCGTCCACTCTCTCGCCTCTTAGCCAAAACGCGGCCGGGGAGCATATTTGCCACTCCCCGCCGGAAACACATCTCACGACGTAAATTACATCTCCTCCTTTCTATCGCTCAACCCAAAAGCAAGTTCCACAAGTAAGTCTTAAGAGTAAGTTCACACAGTAAGTGATTCAAACTCGAATTTTCTTAGTCTCCTTCACAAACGCGGGCTCCCACTATGGCTTCACTTATCGCCCCCTTAATTATGGCAAAATTTTCGTTTTCAACTCCAGAATGCGGAAATAAGGGTGATCGCGCATGCGCGCCCTTCTTCACTTAGCCAACAACCGGACCCCTCAATCGCCAAAACCTGAATGACTTACATTGAAAGACAAGTAGCAACCTTTGACCTTTCTGTCACGTACTTTCCTCTCTTAAGGTCAACTAACAATGAAAATTCTTCTCGAACATTCTAAAGGACAAAGCGCGCGAAATCATGACTTGGCGAAAATTGCCTCCTTTCCCTTTCCCTGCTTCTTTCACAATGAATAAAAGTTTGTACAAAATTTGCAAATAAAGGAAAATAAATAATATTCTTTTAAACTAAATAATATTCCCAGAAGCATCTGTTTTTCCCCAAAATTAAAGCCTTTAAATAAATAATTCAGAATCAAATAAAATTAAGATTTCCATAAATCAGAAAATCATTCACCTAGTTTTTTATAACGCGATCAGAAATTCTACACAACACATTTGTGCATCGAGTTTATAGAACGAAATTTAATATGTTGAATGACCTGCGCAGAGATCTTATGTTAAAAAATGAGTGATTTTAAGGAAGCATTTAGGTATGTGGTTATGCGGTTGCGGCAATAGATTTAATCAATAATAAGTTTAAACGAATGAAAAAAAAAAAAAAAAAAAAAAAAAAAAAAAAATGCGTATAATTTAATTTTCCGTACAAGGAAGTCATGTGGTGTACACATCAGATATTTTTCTTTGAAAATAGGTCTGAAAAACGGGTTCGTCTTATAAGTTGATGCTCAGTTTTTGTTTGCATTCATTTCTGGAAATTTCTCTATCCTGTGGTGTATTATCATTTGAATGGTATAACGTTTTATCTAATATTATGTGCACTAATCAACAATGCTTAGAATATAACATTCATATAAGTGAGAGTATTCATGCCAATATTGTATTTGACAAAGGCGTTAATATGTTCAACATCAGTAACATTTCTCAGAGGGTTTCAAGATAGAGCAATGTGACACCTATACGGTGTAAATCACAATCTAGAACAATTCGTGTATTTATCAGAGTGAACATAAACAATAAAACAATTCAGTAATTTCAAATAACAAAATTGCGTTCTGTTATTAACAATCGTGCAATAACCCGTTCAAATACTGAAGTAAAAATTAGTAAAAATTCATTAAAATGAAAAACAATACAAAAGTAAGTAAATCAAACTAACGTTTATTTTGGTGATTTAATAGTATAAAGTTACAATTGGTAAGGTGGTGGCTGGTCATCAAAATTAGTTGAAGAACAAATAAGAAAATAAAACATACCTTTAACATTAACTAACATAACCATGAGCGGAGGGCCCTGCTCCTTTAAAGTTGCAATAAACACAATATGAACTTTTAAGCAACTGAAAATGGCAAAAATAAAAAAAAATTAAAGTCGCATCAAACTCATCTTTGTATACTGAAAAGAAATATTAGCGGAAGTAAACAATCAACATCGGTTTGCACTGGTAGGGAGAACTTTGACATTCAAATTTTTATAATACTTCAAATTATACATTTAAAATTTTTAGTGAAAATGGCAAACACGATGTAGAAGTTACCACTGCAGTTTATTTTATTTGGAGTTGATTTAAAAGAAAATGTATTTTATTAAAAAAATCTATAATGTTTTCGTGCGTAAAAGTTTTTAATATTAAAATATTCATCTTATTTTTCGTTCAGGTAGAAAATATTGCCCATATAAAAAACTCCATCAAATTTCAAATATATACCATTAGCCATTTTTAAAATATCATGCGCGCAAGGTGGAAATATGACGAAAATTTTTGTCACAAAGCGGATTAAATTACAAAAATACGGGTGTGAACAAATTCTAGTATGTCTGGAAAACACTTGTGGAAAACTGTATTTTAGAGTCAAATAAATATTAGAACAGGTGCAGTTGTCATAAAATTAATTAGTTTCATTAATGTAAGTAAAAATAAATACTAGAAGTAAAATATATAAAACAGATACAAGTAAATAAAAGAAAAATAAATACACGTAAATAAATATTAACTAACCTTTATTATAAAAGCATAAATATCATTTACCATTGAATTCAGTGCAACCTAGTAACAAAACTTAAAGATTTTAGACATTTTTCTAAACTGTTTGATGTTTCGAATTTTTTTAGGATATTTTCAATTCTTTCATCCAATTTTACATATGCTTTTTTCCCTTTTTATTCCAGCGTCGTCTAATTCTCTGGCTTTCAAATTAAAAGACAATTTTTGTTTTTCTTCTTTCAGTATTTTAACTAATAAGTGTACATTAGGCTGGTTTCTGGTAGCGATTGCATTTAATTTGGAATTCCACCTCTCAGCAGAATTATTTATCCTATGATGCTGTCCATATGCATTCCATATGCATACTTTAATGGGCATATTTGGATTGTCCATCCACTGCTCGACAAAATAATCAATGGATGTGGTACGTTTGTCAATGCTAAAATATTTTCCCCATAAAATGCTCTAAGCATCATCTATGTGTTCTGTTGGCAAGTAAGCTAATGCAGAAATCAATCTGCAAAGATTTCTTATAATCTTCATTCTCTTTATGTTCCTTTACTAGACTCATTTCTTGTATCTTACGCCACAAATATTGATTAAAATGAAAGTTACAACCGGAAATAGTCTAACTGAGAAATTCTAACATACAGCTATTGATGGCTGCGGCTTCAAAATCCAAATTTATAATCTCCGGCTTCCACTTAGGACACCAACGTTTCACTTCCTGAAAGATTGCAATGCAAGTTGCTTGTCTCTTATCAGGCAGAAATGCAAAAAGCGCAGGATAAATGTTGGCCTCAGTTGCTGATCTCCTTAAGTCGACAGCTCTTTTCTTCACATATATTTGAGCAAATTGTTTCGGACAACTTTTAAATGTTCCATCTAAGAAAAAAAGTCTCCGTTTTCCAAACGGTAACTAGATTCTTCTCATCCAAATGCTAAACTCCTGTTATGTTGGTTATTTTTAAAGTCTAAACGGATAAAGTTTTTCCCTCCATTAAAAAGTATAAGTGTATTGTTTGCAAACTGACTGTCGTTAGCATTTTGGAGATTTCGGGTAGCTTCCAAAGCTTTTCTCCTCTCCTTACTTAAAACAGTCTTGGCACTCGAATATATCGGTGTTTTATTAACGAAATAATAACCTTTCTGATATAATTCTGAAAGTTAATATTCTTGAAATATCTGAGCAACGGGAACCGATGTTTCTTCTCGGACTCTTTTTCTGTAAGTCTCTAACTTCCCTTTTAACTTCGATCTCCGCAATGTTGGGCACGCAGGAATGCTCAGTTTTCTTCACTACTTCGTATTGAAAATTTGTCTTTACATTTCCTTTACAACGATGTGTCTTTTCTTTTACACATACCCAACTCATTCCTAATGTATTTTTCGATGTAAACGGTGTGGGTAATCATCTAAAACTAAACATTCTATTTCTCTTTTTTTGTCGAGAGTAATTTTGAAATGGCTATTGGTTCCATCACATATGTTTTCGACACTATAAAACGACATACACACTTCATAAGGATCAAACATCTACTGAGAAATTGAGAAAAATCTTTTCCCTTAAAAGTATCGACTTATCTCTACACCAGGTGCAAAGCTCGAAACCACACAGCAGATGACATGTGACTGATTAGGGAAACAACACAATAGGTGGAAGAATGTCCGCTCTGCCCACCCAGCTATCCTCATGTGTCCGCTGTACCCATTGTCCGCTCTGAGCACATAACCTCCAAAGCAAGTTATATTATGTAATCAGATGTAAAATGTTGGAAGTAATTGCTTTTGAAATAAATAAAATATACCAGTTTTTGCAACAATCACATATTTGAAGATCATAAGGGGTTTAAGGTGTATGAACCCCTTAAAAATACGATAGGCGGGACAACGTAAATTCACTCAGCAATTTTAAAAAATATAACTTTTAAGTAATTTTTAAACAAAAAGTCGTTCATGCGCATAATAGAAAACTTAGCACTGTCAAACTACAAGACATGTAATTTTTCAAAAATTTTACATGTCAAAAAGCGCTGCAAACATATGTAAAAGCATACATAATACATAAAAAGCACAAACATTTCTCAAAAGTTTTATAAAAAGGCTTTCATGCAGGCAAAATAGTCTTTCACCGTATCGAGATTCACATCACATATATCATAATCAAAACAGCATACATTTATCAAAGTAAGCAATTAAGATTTGTAAAAACACAAATAGACGATTTCAAATGAAATTATAGCATATCTAATCAAATTTCTGTCTCATGTACTAAGCTGTAAAGTTTGACGTAGCAAATAATCTTCAAAGTCAAAAGCACGTAAAAAGCGGCAAATTTAAAAAAAATTCAGTAAATACTACTTCAGTACAGATACAGTAACCAATTTGTTATACGCAGGAAAAGGAATACAATACGCAGGAAAAGTCAAAATTCAATAATAAACGTACTTGCGTAGTTAGGCCTAGCATGATCGATCCAGAAGGCTCTTCAATTTGCACAAAAATCTTCTCGCACAGAATAAATTCTCATTAAAATACTTTCGAAGCACAATGCACACACAAAAGTTCAAGTTAAATCACACAGATACCAAAAAGCAAGCACAAAATTCAAGAGCTCCAAAAAAATTACGCAAACATCAGTGACGCCGGACATGGCGTAGAACCAACCATGCAGCCGACGGTGTCAGTGCGGGACGACTAGCAACATCGCATACAGCATCAAAAGTGGCAACCATGTAACATTTGATCATGGCGAACAGGACAATAACGTTCAACAAGATGCAGGTTTGCGCAAGGAACACTGCAGGCCATTGTGCATGGTGATTTGGAGATGACAAATGTGTGTGCAAATTCGGTGGACCTTGGACCTCGAACAAAGATCTCGGACTACGCCGAGCTTGACAACATGAAGGACGCAGCCAAGGTCCAACATGTTGAATCTTCTCCCGAATTGCATGCAGTTGTCCATAGGTGATGCACCAACACCATCACAGATGGGTTTACCAAAGTCCTTCGGGACCTCTCAGCCCGATGGCAGAAGTGTATTGACATGGGCCGAGATTATACTTAACTGATGCAGTATCAGTCTTTTGTTAATAAATTGTATTCCACTCTGTGGCGGGATTTGTGTCATTCATTTCTGTGTGATTTGAATATATTCTGAGCATAAGCTGTTCATTCAAATAACGAAGATTTATCAGAAAATAATATTCGCCGCCGCAGATCCTCCTGATCCTTCTGCTGCTCGCCCTCGTAGTGTTGTTCCTCCTCCTGCTGCTACTCCTCCTCCTGCTTCTGCTCGTCCTCCTCCCGCTGCTGCTTCTCTTCCTGCTCGTGTAGGAGCAATAGCAAGAGGAGGAGCAGCAGGAAGAGGAGCGGCAGCCGGAGGAAGGGCAGCAGCAGGACGAGAAGGATCAGCAGCAGCAGGAGGAGGAGAGGGAAGAGTAGCAGGTGAATCTATGCAGGAACCGTTTTAAAACATCTTGCCAGTGACAGAAGCTGAATAGTAAGCAATTTATTGCGAATTCTTTGTAGCTCCGCCGTTCTGGAGCCCCAATCTCCTACACCATACATAATTATGGGAATAATTACTGCGTCATAAATGGACTTTTTTCTTGTAAGAGACAAAACATCAGAGGAGAAATTTCTTTTCCTAAAATAATAGAATAGATCTAGTCCTTTTTTGTACTTCTTTGAAATGCAATTCTAAATTTACCATCTATCAAGACTCCTAGATATTTAAAATGATTGACTCTTTTTAAAAGATTCCCTTCGAACCTTAATTTGAGAGGCCTAGTTTATATCCCTCTCTTAGGAAAAAAAGTCTTTGTACTTAAAATCTTAATTTCTCCTTCTCCTCTCATGTTTTAAGAATTTCACCAACCAAAGAGAAGCGGGATGCCAGTTTCTCCGAGACATTATATATAACATATAGTTTGTTATCTGCATAACAGATGACTTCGACTCCAGGAGGAAGAGTAATTTTTACTAAATTATAAATAACATCATTCCAGAGCAGCGGAGCACTAGACAAGCCCTGATGACATCTTCTATAGAAGGTGTCTCGACTCTAAAATCCATAGCATAAGAATATAACACTTTCCTTTCACTAAAGTAAACACAAAATATCTTGGAATTGTTTTCTGGTATTTTAAAGCTTTCAAAGGTCTAAAATAGGCGATGACCAAATAACTAAATCAAAGGCCTTTGAAACATCAAGTGAAATAACTGCAACATGATAATCAACCTTTTTTTGTACAATAGTAGTGAAACTGTGTTAAGTAAACACCATATGCAAAATCAGTGTGCCAACTTCATTAATTATTGAAGTTTTTCCAAATAATCCATGCGATTATTCAATACTGTTATTTTTCATGGAAAAAATATAGGTCAGTTTCTTTCTTACCACGACTGCTGATACTTATACTCGCAATAACTTTCCAATGCTCACGAAGTAAATTATCTAATTTTTTTTTTTCAAAATCAGTATGTATCAGTATCATCATAAATATTTTTGGTGTAAAAATATTTGTTTAATGTTTCACTAAAAAGGTTATTTATAGTGCAATATTAAATACGTATTTCTAAAATATTTACACTTTCGGAAATTTTGTTTTAGATGGAGATATAATGTCGCAAGTTCGTATGCATCACTTGGTGCTTGAGATCTGTGTGGTCACAGTTCTCCTGCAAATGGCCTTAGGAGGTAAGACTTTATATTTCATTCCGTAAGATATTTACAACGATTTTTTGAATTAAAATTACACGATTTTTTAATTGTTTTGTATGTAAAAAATACTTTGTCTGTTGCATTCTTTATTATTATGTTGTATTTTACAATGCTGATATTGCCTTTCTACGTTATATACAAAAATCATTTAAGTTTAAAAATTTCATGACAACGAGCATGAAATTTTTATGTATACTGTTGTATGCAGACATATACAGGCAAAAAGGAATATAAACATAGGTAGGTCCAAAACATTTTCGGCCTGATATATTTCTGTGGAATATAGAGAAAATTCCAATAGCTTGTTTTCAATATAATCCATTTGTACTGCAGTAAGTTTATACTTTTTTTACATCTCCTGAGCAGCATTGCTGTTATCCTGAAAGATTAATTTGAGTGTTTTTTACACAAAGATCAGATTTAATTTCGATAATAGCTAATAATCTCTCGAAACTAAATCTGGACAGACGGGAGATAATGAAGACCCTTTAACCCACATTTCCTTACTTTTCTTTAGATGACAGCTAACTTTGCAGAAAAGTCATCATGGAGAAGATGAATTCCGCGATTTAGGATACAGTACTTTTTCTCCTTAATTTCATTGCATAACTTATGCAAATGTTTTGCATAATCATCCCCAGTAATGTTTGCCGTTCTACTTTAAAGTCTACCAGGAACATTCCTTGACAGTTCCACAGAATTGGTTACTGTTAGTATTAGTATTAACTACCGCATTTACCAGTTCACCTAGCCGGCATAAGCCGGCCATACGACTAAAAGGAGTACTGGCTAATCCAACCAAAAACGAGAAAGCTAGCTGGGCACCCCTCAAGAAAAAGGATCAAATCAACAAAATTAAATTAGGTCAGAACCTTGTGTAACAGAGGGAAAAAAAACAGAAGTTACACCGTCCTTCTCACCCCCGGAAAAAGACATAGCAAACTCAAAATTACTGTTAGCAAAAGGTTATGAAGCCCATCAAATAAAGCAACACTTACGTAGAACGAACCTAAAAAATTAAAATTAATGAATTAAATTAAAATTAAAGAATGGTTACCATTATCGATTTTATTGATTACTGAAAATTTTCCTTTATTCGTAGATCTTCACCAGGTTACTTGCATTTCAGTGATTCCCACTTCGATAACGGATCATAATATAGGACCATTATTTCATCCCCAGTGACAATGAACTATAGAATAGTTCTCTGGCTGGCACTGTAAATGTCTAAAGCACTGTTCATAGAAAACGCCATTTTTCTGCTTTTGAATTCTTAAAAGAATCTTGGGTTCCTTACTTGCAAAGACTTTTCCTTGCAGAGACCTTCATGTAGAAGGCTCAAAACAGTTGTTTTAGGTAAATCCGATCTTGCTGCTATCTCTTTTATTTTTAATCTTTTAGCTCTAAATATTTCCTTCTCGGCATAAGCAGTATTTTTGGATGACAATGATTCTAATAGCTAACCTTCACGTGAATCATTTTGGATGGATTCTCGGCCATTCGAAATTGTTTTACACATTGTTTGACTGTAGAACCTAAAAGAGACAAATCATCGTATGCGTCACATATTGTTTGACTTCTTTAAGAGTAATATCTTTCCTAACCGAAAATTTAATCACAGAATGTATACTCAAATTTAAACATTTTAGAAAAACCTATCTCATCATTCATTCAATAAACTGTGAAAAAGACCAACAAATGGTTTCACTAACGAAAGTTTCAAATTCATTTAGCATTGCCAATACATGTCTGCAAAAGAAATTTATTGGCAAATAACTTTTTATATGTGAGATCGAAAAAGTTTAGATGTTCCAATGTATATGGTAGAAATACGTTAGCGAGGAGGCATATTGCAGGCGCGAAGGAATGGAGACTCAAGTCATTTCTGTTTTAGAGTTTTAGTATATTTTACTGGCCAGTTCAAATAAAAATAACTTTTTTAGAAATGCTGTTATGTCAAGAAAATAAAAATGCAATGGAAAACATCCAAGACGAAAGCTTTGTGGTTCGCTAAATGTGTAGCAGGAACTATATTTTGATAATTGTCCTTTCATCTTGAAACATCACACGTAAGTGTACGCATGCAGAACTGATACACAAGTAAATCAGCTTTGTGTTTATTTAGCTTTACTTGATGCTATTTACAAGGGATATTAGTTACATTACTTACTTACAAGGGATGCTTATTTGTCATCCCTTGTAAGTAGTTTTATTGTCCAGTTGTTTTTAAATGAGCGAGAACCGTAATTGAAAGCAAAATATAACCTATATTTTGGCGTAGATTTCGAAGACGATCAGACTCAGGATCCTTTCTTTCAAGAGAAAAAGTGTGAATCTGTGTTAAAATCTCTATTTCTATACCAGAATCATTTATCTGAATTTAAAAGTGAATTAGGGTTTGCATTTTGATGTTTACGTAACTGAACGAAATTTCTTCAGAAAAGTAATGGAGACTATGGGGCGGATACATGATTTTCTGTACTTACCGTGGACGCTCTAGCAATTAGTATTTACATACTGCTTGAAAGAAAACACATATCAACAACGTTTCTTTTCATATCTCATATCTTGTGTTTGTGCCGAAACGTGTCACTTGTACCCGTGCAAAAAATCTATCATCTCGTAAAGTTATGGTAATCAATTCGGTTATTACTGATATAATATAACTAAGGATTTTAAGTGTTGATACTTCAACAGGCAAAGCTGAACCATATTTTGCTCCTTAGCCGACGAGCACAGATGGTGGGGTGTATAAATTAAAAGCGAAGTATACATATATTTAGTTGTGGCTAATAAGAACCACTTAGCTTATGTCCTTGAAAAATGGGTGTTCTATACGGCTACATGTGTCACGTGTGCTTGGAGACGGCTTTATTTCAATATTTTATTATCCTGTAAATAATAAATGTATAGTTTATCTGGTTAGTTTATAAACCTTTGAAAGGCTATTGATTACATGAGTTAAAACAACACTTTGAATAACGATTTTTAAAGGTGCTAAGACAACAAGAATCAGAATAATATTCATGTATTTGCTTATAAATGCATAAAAAAGCTTAAGAAGAAGTTTCTATATTTAAACCTTCGAAACTAGTCCGGCAAATTTATGAATATTGCTCTAATTTTTGTTACCTTAGTTCTCCCAATAAACGATTATTATTAGTTAAAATTATTAGAAACACGATTATGTCAAAAACTCTGATGTCGATACCATAAGATTTCCTTGTACGGCCTATTTCATGGTACACATTTTTGTTGCAATTCATTTACACTTGTTTCCTCCGATTATTTTAACTTGAATAACCGGTATGTCAAGGCAAGTTGAAAATGCCATGAAATACTGCAAAACTTAAATTAAAAATCCTGCTCAATTTTTGTTGTACAGGAGTCAAAATTCTTATAATTTTATTTTTTCATAACGAGTCTAAAACTTTCCCAAATACACTGCTGGACAATTGCAAATGACGGACAACATTTTGCCCCTTTATCCGAGATGCAATGTTATGGTATAAGCCGCTAACATAATTAGTGGCTGCACACCTCTACACGTGATCGAAAGTGGGTCTGTGACAGGCCAGCAATACGCTTTTTCCGTGGTGCTTTCGGTGATAAATTTCTTTTCGTGCACGACAAGGCACCATATCGAATACTCGCTGTTCAGGATTATTTAGAAAGTGAAGAATATTTCTTTACTAGTATGGCCAGCATATTCTGCCGATCTAAACCTCATTCAGTTGCCTCAACAGGTTCCCGATGATGCTGTGGTGCAAAGTATGACATGACACGTAGAAAGCTGCATCGCATTCCATGATGGACGTACTATCTTGTACTGATTCTTTTCTGAAAGGTGAGTGCTATCGTTCAAATTTTGCCATTTTCCCTTACACAGCATCAAAGGATAATTTTTTTACTTTTGGATATTTCAAAACGTTCTGTATTTTCTCGAATAATAAATGTTCTTCATTATAATGTACGAACAGTGTAATAAAAATATTTTATCCTGCTTTATCAGAATTATAATAAATTCACTCCAACTTAATGTTATGGTACATTGCGATTTGAGAGTCTTCCTTAGCAACTGTCCAGCAATGTTTAAGTATAAGAACTGGAAAACCTCATTTAAAATCAGATTCCTTTATTTGCCGAATTTTTTTTTTTTTTTTTTTTTTAATTTGACATTCCTAAAGCTCGAATAATTTTATAATTTTAAGCACTTCTGTAAATGGAAATATACGATTGTGAAAATAAGCCCGGATGAGGGGGTGAGTAGATATATATATGTGTGCGTGTGTTTTGGTACTACCAATTGAAACAAAAATGGGAGATGCAGGCGCACAACTAGATATTACAGCAGACCCATGTACAAAATTTCAATGTTCTACGGCTGATCTGTTTTGAGTTATATGAGATATATCTATCCATACGTACGTACGTACAGACGTCACAAAAATTTTCCTTTTGAATGCATTTTAAATCCATTTTACACTCCGTGTTGGTAATAAGAGTCACTTTTTATGTGTGTACATACAGATGTTAAGCAAATAAATCGTGCAAATGAATTCAGGAAAGGCCAAAGTGGATATTTCCATTGAAATATGACACTGGAAAATTTTCGCAGTTCCAATATTTGATACTATTCCGTTTTGAGGACCCTTAAAAAATCGCCAAACTATCGTTGATGCCAATGCTGCCAAAAATAATTGCGGCAACCCTAACGCAAGAAAGGAAATATAATAGTAAATAACAATCTAAGATTATTGTTTTAATTTAGATGAAAGGTTAATTTCATATAATACATTTTTATTATTATAATTTATATAAAAACGGCAAAACATAACTGAATGGAAGCATAAGGGTAAATAACTATTTCAGATCATTGTTATAATTTATATAAAAAAGGCTAAACTTAACTGAAAGGATTCCTGCTTCGCTCTTTCACTATCGAGTTATCGCTAAAACATAATTTCATCTCTTTTGTTGTTGAAACATAATTTTCTATAATGAATGATGCCTTTTCTTTGAAAAAATTCTATTGCAGACTTTTCGTCATGGGCAATTGCCAAATTGTTAAATCCGTAGGATATCAAAAAAGGATTTAATAATTAAGCTAGTATTCAATGGCGTCTTAAGATATATAGAACTATCTAAACTTACGCAATTTGAAATTAGCGCGTACGCTAGATTTGGCTCTCTGTTAAATGAGCACGTTTGCTGGATTTGGCGCTTTTGCGCATACATTTTCGCTGCAATTTTTTTACAGTCCTCAAAGCGGAATAGTACCCAATATTTCCTTCGTAAAAGAAAGTAAAATTAAAATCATATATTTTCCATTATTTATCATTGTTTCTTTCTGAATCATTCTTTTCTCTTTTTCTGCAAATATCAACTCGAGCTTCAGTTTATGATTTATATTGTAATATGAACTATTTTTACCATACTGATTACTGAGTCGTATTAGCATTACCAGTGAACCTGCGATACATAGTATCTGTGTATCTGTTCTATATTTGCTGAGTGCAGATTGCAAAAATATTATGAATCAGAATTATAATAATCTCTCATTAAGAGTTTCTCTGATTTTAAAACATTATGCCTGAACTACATCATATCTACAGCTTGCAACATTCCGCAGAGGACACTTCCCAACGGCAGCATCCGGTGCCATATTCGAAGATACGCCAAGCCCACTCTGGCCCAGGGAGCATATATTCTGCATTTCAGATGCAATCCTGGATACACGAGAATAGGTCCAAGAGCAATACTCTGCAAAGATGAAGAATGCACGGGCCCATTCCCGGAATGCATTAGTAAGTAGATTTGTTTGCTAATGGAAACTTTCTTCGATTTTGTGGTACATATATAAAGCGGCTGCGAGAACAACAAGTGAAGTACAGCAGACATATTTTCGGACTATAGACCTCAAAGAACCTATTCGTACAATGACTTAGTTATTTAATACTTCTCGTACTCATGAACTCGAAATTGTTTAAATTTTTTAGTTAATTATTAACTTTAAAACAATTTAATTCGATGTAAATGTAAGAAGGAGTACTGTTTGATTTATCCTTCTAGCAATAAAAAATACAGCTTGATTTAGATTTAATGTTTTTCAACTCCTCAAGGTTATAGTTGGATAGAGGCAGATCCATTCCTCCCATCACGATCACATTGGAAGCAATATCAGTTCATTAACAACAGTTATAATATGATTCTACTCTCTTCCTGACATAAATCTTTATTTCATACACTTCCAATATAGTCATGAGGTATAAAGGTTGGTTTCATGAATTGAAATTTGAATATTTTTATTAAATTCTCTAGTAAGTTAGGTAGCGGAAACATTATTAAATTTCAAAACTTAATTTATTTAGAATAATTCTGCTGTGCTGTGATAATGTGAACAGCTTTTAGTTGACTACATTTTACATAGCTTTCAAGTGTACAACAGTGTTCAGTTGGCAGATATCTTCAAATTAATAAAATGAGACTGTAACTCGAGTTAGGATAATACCAAATTTTTATTTGATAAATTATAATGAGAAACATATTTTCATTTTCGGAATCAAGCTGTTTGTAAGTTCTTGCCTATGCCACACTTCTTATATTCGAAGATTTCAGGAATGTAAAGTTCTTTCAATTTGCAAACTGATGGTGAGCGTTTCGTAATCGATAAGTAGCAATGATCTAATCTTCATTTTTTGCGGTTAAACCTGTTAATAAAAAGTTATAGTCCACTTTATAACTGGTTTATAACTGGTTTTTAATTTTATGAAAACTTAATGAATAAATTAGTTTTTAGTGATATGGATGACATGGGTGGGCCGAATAGTGGAGAATAGCTTTTCACGAATAGTATTAATTTCGAGAAATATTTTCTTTATCTGGACATTTCCTTGCTAATGAATCTTGTTTTACTTTTTATGGTAACATTTTCTTTAGATTTGTAGCTTTGTTCAAGATTTTCAGTACCATAGTTTAATACAGAAAGAATGCAAATAGATAGTGTCACGATTTTGTAAGTTATTCTTCAGAAAACGTTTCACAAATATTCTTTTAATATGAAGTGGCTGAAAATTAACATTATAATTTAAATAATGAATAGTATTTTTATTTCAATATTATTTATTTTTGCTAGTCTAAAATTAAATGTATGTTTACATTACGTTCAAAATTAATGTATGGCGGCGTTTATCAGGCTCAAACTGATGGGTTCTGTCTAACACATTTTCTGTGTAACGTACTTTTCTACTAATTCTTGTTTTAGTAACAGTTTCAAGCTGTTGTATCGTTCGTGCATTCACATTCCTTTGAAAAATCAGAAGAGAAAAAAAAAAGTATACGTTTTCTAAAACAAATTCCTGAAGAGAGTTGTTGTTTGTCACGATTCATTCACTTTAGATTGCTATTGTTTGTCAAGATTAAATCACCTAAAAGAGCAATTGTTTGTTAAAGTTCATCCACTTAAGATATAGAGTGAAGTGTTTTTTTTAGCAGGAGACGAGAAAAATGGAATGAAAATGTAATCCCTTTCCGGTATTCGAGCCCTGGACCACTCGAATAAGTGTCGAGTGTGTTTCCATTTACACCACGAAAGCACGAGGAAAGAAGGGAGAAAATACCTTATGTATTCCTCCTTTTTAAAGGGCGACTGGGGATTAGAGGAACCAGCTGCTAAATCCTGGTGGTGACGAATCATTATCCATTATCCACCACCTTTTAGTTCGGATGCCACTTGAAGTGATAAATGTGCAGTGTCCTAGTCGTGACTCAAATCCTGGATATTTCGAATAGTTCAGGGTCCTTTCAGTTATATTATGAAAGCTTGCAGTAAGGAGGGAGAAAATACCTTACAAAAAGAACTATTGTTTGTCGCCATCCATTCTCTTAAGCCATCCATCCGCTTGATTTTTTGTAAGAAAGCCATTATTCGTAGCTGAAAAGTTTAATTCAGTACTCCGACTAATTTGTTGAAGCACAAAATTCAACAAATTAATTGGAGCAGTAGGCGATTTCGGATCATTAAGCATGCTGCTATATGCTCTTTGAGTCAAAATAATGGTGTCTTAATTTTCGAAGTAAAACTAAAAAATTTTAGCTTTTCACCTGTTAGTGAAACATTCTATGATAATATAGCTAGTGTTAGTATATAATAAAAAAAGAAAAAAAATACGAAGCAAAAAAAAAAAAAAAAAAAAAAAAAAAAAACTATAATACTATTTGAATAATAACGCTAATTATGAGCCACCTGATATTTCTGCAGAGCGAGAGATTTAGGATTTTCAATAAACTATACTGGTGAAGAAATGCATTTTTAACTATATATTAAATATTTCTGGAATGTTTAAAGTAAGTGAAAACCTTTCAATACTGGAAAAAATATATAGTTTCTCACACTGCTCATTTTTCTGATTCTTGGCATTGACCAGAGACGGAATGTGAAGAGTCTCCGTCTATCTCTAATGTCAAATATGCGGTGAATACAGGCAAGGATGACAGGAGGATGATCGGATCAACAGCTACCTATATATATGTGATACAGGGTTCGAATTAGAAAACCATACTGCAGAAGTTTTGACACGCAAATTGGATCTAAAGATGAATGATTTTCACTGGAGCAACCTAACTCCCAGGTGCAGGTAAAACACGTTGAATTAATTTGATATAACAAAGTATTTACCGTAATTTAACGTAGAAGTCTTTATGATACGCTTTTCTTTTCTTTCTTCCATAATCTATCAGGACATTGATAAACGTCAGAGAATTGATCTCCCTGACGTGCTCTTTACTGATGAGTAAGGCAAAACCTTAAGGCACATGGAGGGGCTTTGCCCCTTTTCCCGCAATCAGACTATTGCATGGTCTTTTTTTTTTTTTTTTTTTTTTTTTGAGAGAAGGGATGCATTATTTCGCGATTATTATTAGATGTCTTATGATTCACCATCTGAAGTCTTTTATTACATCCTAGCAATTAGAAAATACATAGGGACATTTTGGTTCTTAGAAAGCGGTTGTTTCAGTAGAAAACCACATGTTAAATTATTAAATAAGTGCAAAATTCATTATGTATGAATCTCGATATTAGTGTTTTAACAAATAAAAGAGTATGTAAATTTAAAAAAAAAGTCATGAGTTAAACCCGGGTAACTACGACATGCATTTTTTTTTTTTTTTTTTTTTTTTTGAGTTAAATGAGCAAAACTGAATTTTTTTATCATCCTGTGTTCCGATATTTGTTCACGTATCCACGTAATCAATGGGAAAAAAAAAAAAAAAAAAAAAAAAAAGCTCTGTCTGGTGGCGCCATCTGTTGGCTCTTTTATGTATTAAAACATACCACGACAGTAAAACCATTGAAAAAAAGCAATGCGCATCTGAGAAAAAAAGTCTGAACCAGGTGCTTTCAAAAGTTGACTCTGCGCCGCAAAGAATTTTAAATGCTTCCTTGATAAGTGCCTAATTGGATGTGAAATTTCATTCTGATCATTACACTTTCTCATGCCCCTTAGCTGAGGATATTCACATAAAATCCCCACAATCTGAAGTCCTCGCACTCCAAAGGATTCTAATAAAAGATAAACATCAGTATGCGAAGTTTAAAAAAAAAAAATAGAAGGACTATTTTCCTACGGCCTAGATCTTTCTCAAGTGCAAGTTCTTATACTGCATAAATTTAGTGAACTTTTACATCCTGTGAATATGTACACCTTGTGATCTTGTATACTCCACTTGTGAAAATTATAAACTGAAATAACATTTTATAACTGAAATAACCCCCATGGACACCTAGCTCTTTAGTATTACTATTACAGTTCATTACAGCATTGTATTCCCAGTATTTATTATAGTTATTTTATTATATTTATCTGTTATTTTTGTTACACGAAAACAGATGTTAAATTTAATTTGAGAATTTCAAATTGTTTTTAAAATATACTGTAATCTGTTTATGTCATAAATCATTATTTTCAGTAAATATTGGATGCGGAGAATACACTGAGACTGCCTGATGTACACTGCGAAAAAAAAAAAAAAAAAAAAAATCTGAAATGTTTCAGATTTTAAATTACGTCCAAAGGGCGTTTTTTTAACATTTTGTGTGTTACCTTTCTTTATTAAATATCATGTTCCTCGCACTTAAACCATAAGATCCAGTGCAACAGCAATATCGCAAAATAGTTTTAAAAACGAGCATATCTTTAGAATTTCCGATACAGAGACTCACGCGCTGGAGATAAAAATGTTTTTTCTGCACAACGTTGCCATTGCTCGCTTTGAAATCCTTGAGTTTGTTAATCAAAAATTCGTCAAAGTTTTAAAAAATAGGAAATCGATCATAAAACAAATTTCAAATTTCAAATTTGGGTCTTCCACATGCTCATATTCGTTGGAGGATTACGTTATTCAAAATTCGATGACTCTATGTACCGTTGTTTTATCACAATACGAGAAATATACATACATTTATGCAGATTTTTCATTATTTAATTTCTTCAAATATAATGCAGGACTCTAACATTTTGTGGCAACAGTTTGAAAAGTGAACCGACATTTATGAGTCCGACGCAAAATGCCAAAACGAAACTAATAGTCCTTCGGGATTCAAATCCCTTTGGACTAAAAAAAAGGGGGACCAGTGCTATACCTCCCATTCTACTGGGCCGATTGACGAAATTCAAATTGCGTTTTTCATGTCTCGAGAGCGCGACTTAGGATATGTATTACATTTATATATAGCTTTGTTCAAATATAGGTATTTTGACAGAAAATCGGACTTCTTCTGAAATGACATGCCAATGTTTTTCTTCATTTCGATTCTACGACTCAAATTATGCCAAACTGCCAAATTTTGTAAAAATCGCACGATTACTTTTTAAAAAATTAGCTTTCAAAATTTTACCTCCTCAATGTTATTTGAATTCGATTTATAGTTAATAATATCTCTTTTTTCATTAAACGCTTTGATTCCTTCTTCCAGAATTCAAAATTTAGGTTCATTCCAAATAAAATTCACCCACCTTTCTATGCTTTATTTTTTTAATTTGTATTTTTAAATAATTTTTATAAATATTTCAAAAAACATTCTGATTATAACCTACAAAATTTTTACCATTATCTTAAAGTAGATGCATTTCTAATTATAGCTACAAAAAGTTAGAATGCCTGATTAGTACATTAGAAATAGAATTAGAAATTAGAAATAGAATGCCCTCTAGGAGGTATTAGAACAAACAAAAATAAAAACTCAACCGAGTAAACATTTCGAAAGCGTTTTAAACGCTTAAAAGTTTTAAAATGTAGAAGAACGCTTGAGGCGCGTTATGGCCGCCCTGCGGAAGTTTCACTTGAACGCGCTAGACACGTTACGGACGACGAAGAGGTTAAGAAGATAGCTGTTGTGTGAAATTTCGTGTTCTTTATCTGATTTCAATAGATATTACGTTCTTGTAACACTGTTCTTCTGTAGAATGCGATGTCTTCTGTAAGATTTCCTTGATTTGTATACGTATGTAGAACACAGTTTAAGTTGATTTTTGAAATCTAGATCAGTAGAATTTTTACTTCTGACAGAGAAGATATCTTGTCCTGATCTTGGAGTATCCGTCGATGGTGCAAGGAAAGGAAATTGTTGTTTCACCGGAGATGTTGTCAAATATTCTTGTAAAGAAGGTTTTGAATTAGCTGGGACAGATACTCTCGTTTGTTTGACCACTGGAAACTGGAGTACACCAAGACCACTTTGTCGTCGTAAGTGTTCTTCCTTCTTTCTGAAATGATTTTCTATAATTTATATGTATAAATGTTAATATTTTCAATTATTTAGTACATACGAATCTTAACTGATTAAAAGCTACTACCGTAGTATCTGCTATAAATGTACCGCTTCAAGAATGTACCGGAAACTAAATTTTGAACATTTTGAAATTAGTTTGTGCTGCAATATAACATTAAATTGCCTGTTATAGCCTTGAATATTATGTTATAGCCTGTTATAGCCTTAGAATTTTCACTAAATGGGTGTTTTGCACTTCCAGGTTACGTCATAATCATGGTAAAGAAAGCTGCGGCAGATGATCGACCCTCTAATTGTTTTATTAGATTTTATTTAGCACACTAATGGTGTAGGACTAAAACGTTTGTCATGGATTTTCCAAATATTTCCTAATAAGCAATAGAACTCAAATTTTGCATGCAAAGTCCTTATGAATGACAATACATTGTGGTGAAGAGTTTTATTAAAATTTTGAGTCTTTTAAAATTTCAAATTTAACAATTGTTTGCACATATCTTCCTTTCAAAAACAAAATAAAAATATCACAAATTTTACAGTTTACACCATCGTATAGAGCGGCAAGTAATCTTCTAAATAAAATTTATATGAAAGTTTGAAAATAATTTTTGGTTGCTTGCTGAATCGCCAAAAATTATTGGATTTCTTTGGCCTTTTTGACGTCTATTAGTTAAACATTTCATTATAAAAATTGCGTTCTCTATAAAGTTTTGAAATTTTATCTGGTTACGAAAAAAAAAAAAAAAAAAAAAAAAAAAAAAAAAAAAAACACTTTACTCTCTTTTAAGCAAGAATGATTGAAAAAATTATGTAAGGTAACTAAATAACTGTAAAGGTAACTTTAAATAACGTCATGATAAATCAGAACTGCGTCACGATAAGGTATGCTCCAATAGTTGAAAATACAGTTGCAGCCTGCGCAGGCTGCGAGAAAATATCCATAAATAATCATCACATAATATGTTTGAACCATAAAACGCTTCTGTACAGCGTTTAACCATAAAAGTATTGCACCTAAATGCTTTAAGTACACTCATGTCCAAAATTATGTTTACATGCATAAATTCACGGATTTCTCAGAGACTATGACTTATAATTTAATGAATTTTCGTGGAATCATACATAACATGATGACACATAAATGCAAAAGAAAAAATTGAAGATCACCTCATATAATATAAAATTGTAGCATGAAACAATAAAAATGGTAATAAAGTGTGACAAAGAGAGTTAAGAAAAAAAGGAATGATTCAGAAAAAGAATTAAGTCTTACAAATTTAATATGGAATATGATCTCCCCTGACTTGTACACACATATCACAACGTGTTTTAAGGCTGGAAATAACGTTGTTAACCACAGTTTGGGGAATTAATCTCCACTCTTCCAGCAATGCCGTCTTCAGAGCATTTCCATCTCTAGGAGGAGGATGTATACGTACAATTGCTCTTCCAAGGTAGTCCCATAAGTTCTCTATCGGGTTAAGGTCAGGAGAGTTTGGTGGCCAAAGTATTCGCTTAACGTCTTCACTTTCAAGGAATTCATCAACGAGGTTTGCTCGATGTGGACGGGCATTATCATCCATAAATAAAAAGTCAGGTTCATATGCACCCCTGAAAAGTCTTACATAAGGATCTAAGACCTCATACCGATATATCTGGCCTGTCACAGATCCGCTGCTGAACACGTGTAGGGGCGTACGTCCATCGATCATTATTCCTCCCCATACCATCACACCTCCACTACCGAAACGGTCACGTTCCCACAATGTTCGAGGGATCATTTCGTGTTCCTGACTCCCTCCAGATGTAAACACGTTTAGATCACCAATTAAACTAAACCGCGACTCATCAGTAAAGAGAACATGGGACCATTGAGTTCAATCCAGTTCTGATGTTCTTTACACCAATTAAAAGCGATCCTCTTTTTTCTGTGAAGACAGTAAAACACATACCCTTGGCCTTCTGGCATAAAGGCCTTTTTCATTAAGCCTTCTGTATAATGTGTGCCGTGATGCAACAGTTCCAGGGGCGGCTGCAAGCTCTGAACTTAACTGGCGAGCAGTAGCCTTTCTGTTACGACGGGCAGTTAATGCCAGACACCGATCTTCAGAAGCAGTTGTCATTCGTTTCCGACCTTGTCCAGGCCTCCTTACAACACTTTCATCATTTTGAAACTGTTTCCATAGCTTAGAGACTGTCTGTCTTGAAATATTCAGACATGTGGTTGTTTCCATGATTGACTGCCCTGCTTCTAAACGGCCGATAATTTGCCACTTTACAGATTCTTCCAAATGATACTTCGAAGCCATAACAAACCGCTTTGAGTTCCTACACACTGAAATCAAACGCTATGTTGCAGAAATTCACTCAAATATTCAGTTTGCGCAAAGCGCTTGATTCACCCTTGGATTACGTAACGCCTAGATTTGCATATCACAAACCGTTTAATTACTTTTGATTGGATAATGCTAATTAGGCTTGGTTTTCACACATTCCCTGCAAATACGGATCACATTGATTCGATATTTCATTGAATATCATCATTTTTTGGGTATGTAAAGATAATTTTGGACATGAGTGTAGTTAAGACAAGGATAGTTGTTTTAACTGTAATGTTGTACAGTAATTTAAAAATAATGATTTATTATGTTTAGGTTTGTAATGAGAAATAAGACGTGGCCAGTAATCCCTGCTATTTTTGCTTATGGTAATCTGAAAATAATAAAAGTGTTTAAAATGTGAATGAGTGCAATGTAATTTTTATTTAGTGATCTTCATTCATCGCTCCATTTATCTGAATCGTAAAGTTTTCAGAAACGTGGAGCTTACTAGAACATTATGCCTTAAACACCACGCAAAAATATCAACTTTCATAGGAATTTACTGAGAAATTTTGGTTATTAGGGAGTGCCGATGAAATAGCTAAAGCATATTTATTGTTATTTATATGAACAGATTGATTGATTATATATATACTACATTTCTTTCTGTAGCGTTTTGTGAGGTCGCGTAATATTTAAAAAAAAATATTTAGTGGCTATATCTAGAGTTTTGGAGTATGCATTGGCAATTTGATATATATTTTAATAATTCCATTGGAGACTGCAGTAAAATACATAATTATGAGAGACGGTATATTTGGTAATGAAATTAAATTTTCATTTTTGTTGAAATATATGTTTTGATTTTTATACCAAGGTACCTGAGAAGATTTATGATTCTTTACTTTCATGTTGTTGATTTGAGGAATTTGAATGACCGAATTAATTTACTTTTGAAGTAACGTATTTATTAAATATGTAACTTTAAAATAATTTAGACCAATATCCCATTTCCACTTAAGAGATTTATTTCATTTTTATCCGGCTTTAGTAATAGGAATGAAAATTTTAGCTTAACGTAAAAATTAAAATTTTACTTAATTGAAATTTTTATGCCGGAACAATTTAGAACTTTAGAACGATCACAGAAGACTGCGTGCTGCTAATTCTATGTTATTTCAGCTTTGGACGATTACTGTATTTCGCCTCCTCCCATTAGCCATGGCTCAATCATGGGGGAGAAAGAGGGGGATTTCTACCGACCGTACGATGCAGTGGAGATCATTTGCGAGCCAGGATACGAATATCAGGGTTTCGAATTCAACTTGTGTATCGAAGAAATTGGATGGGAGGAGGACTTCTCTGAATGTAAAGGTATGAGATACTTATTTAATAATGTCTCTGAAAAAACAATCGCAACATATTAGAATAATCACTATTCAGTAAAGTAACTAAATTTTGAATTTATGTAATAAAATATAGTTTGTATACAATAATTACAAACTCGAGATAAAAATACCACTTCAAATTTACAGTGAATTATACAATAGCCAATTACAGTAACAATACTGGGCATTTTGGCTTAAATGTTTTAGCAAATAAAACTAAATTTAAAGAAACGCACTGTTAAGTAATCTGCTTTTCACCGCTAAAATTCGTAGTGTAATGAGAAGGAAACATTTTTTTTTGGGTGCTATTCTATTGCCAATGTACTAACTGTGAGAAAATAATCCTAAAAATACAAAGATAAAAATAAATAAGAAAGTAAAAAATACAAAATGAAAATAAAGAAAGGATAAAATGTGCAAGCATATAAGATAAATACAAATTTTCTATAATCCTAAAAGGAGAAAATGTCGGTTTCGATTTTAAACATTTGTTTGGCAAAACATAATTGCGCTACAAATAAAAATAAATCTTACCTTTCTTTCATGGAACATGGGAGGTTGCATTGTAACAAGTTTGCCATCAATGGCTTTAATCATGGCACAAAAGTATAAAAACAAACAAATGATTATGACTGGCATCTTGACAATGTATTTCTAATGGATGAGCTCAGTGAAGGCTGTAAATTATAATTCGTTGAGAAGTAATGTAGCTAAAATTAGTTGCATGGTAATTGGTAATTAGCAGAGCACAGTTCCCATCCCATCTAGCCGAAACGACGTTCATCCATAAGGCTCACAGGGCTTGCCCCAGTCCACAGACACTGTGAAACTTAAAGAAATTAAAACAAAACGGAACAAATTTAAAAAGACGGCTCTGAAGGACGAAAATAATAAACTGAAACCAAAAATCCAAATTCAATTTTCCTGCTATTTATCTCTCTAATAAGTTTTTCTGCCACTTTCTTTAATTTTGTATAATTTTTAAAACCAGTTTCCAAGTCAAAATGATGATTCAGAGTATTCTAAGTTGTTTTTGACAGGCGGTAGGATCGTGTTCTCTTTGGCCATAGGAACTATATTAGATCCTTCTAAGGAACCGTAGCCCACCAGCGGCTGAGCGGTAAAGACGCTGAACACTGATAGTTCGGTCTGAGGTTCGAATCCCGCGAACGGGCTGACTGCATGGGCGTTTTCGTGGTTTTTCCCATGTGTAACGTGTATACGAGCCAGTTTCCCTTAGAAAGTCCTCCACGAAGGCATCCCTCTCTTTAGGCAGATAGTCCTCGTGTGCTTTGCCATAATTAAATAATTCAATCCAATCTAATCCTTCTAAGGAACCTGGTGACTTGTCGCACAGGCGTAAAAGAAAACCAAACAGAAGACAGGGAAAAATAACCGTTTAATTATTATTCAAACTCTGAATAGAAAAGTCACGTACTTCGTACTTACAATAACACTGACAACTTGCGGTGGAACTTAAGAATCATTTCCACAATAAATTAGAGGTTAAACAGTAGTGAAGGTCTATCTATTTAAGTTAAGGGTAACTAGATTGACTCAACAACCTACTCGGCGTGATAATTATTTAAATGGCCAAAAGGCGTAGCAACAACTCCGCGTAACAGGAAGGACAGATTCGTAACTTGCGCTGGCTAGCGAAAACACGCTCTGAATAAACTCCAAGATTTATCCGTTTAAATCACTTCACTTAACTTTAAATTTACATCCTGGAGAGGAAATGCGAGGGGAAATTGAGGAGTTCAGGAAAAATAACAAAAATTTGAATAATTAGTTATTGGAACTAAGGGAAAGGGATACAAGATCTAGACAGATTTTTTACATTTGATGAATTTTCTGTTCGTCTCTATATGCAATGTTTCCATCAAAGCTCTTACCCGATCCTTTTTCGTTATCATTTGTCGATGTTTCCATGTATTAGAAAAGTAATTCTTGTGTATTCTAAGTAGCTTGTAGCAGTTTCAGAATCATTATAGTGGATACTAGAAGAAAGTATTTGCAGATAAATACTAACAGAAAATGTAAATTCTATACAAAATTTGATGCAGAAATGGGAAATAATTTTGAAAAGGTAATGTCATACAAATATGCATTAAATAAGGAAATTATTCGTGTTATTGCAATTTTTATTTCAAAAAACTAGTTCTTTAAATAACTTGGAAGCTAACCTTCTATACACAAAACGCAAAGATAAAATGCAAAATATTTTTCTCGTAAGACAAAGGTAAACAGAGATATTTAATTTTAAACTCTGATATCACGTTTCTTGAAAACTGAAGCGTCGTGTACAAATAGAAGAGTGAAATATTTAAATTTGTATGTGACGAAAAATGGAAATATTAGTTTAGAAAAAAAAATGCTAATGGTTCTGAAACCAATGGTTCTGATGCTATTGGTGGGAGACTAGTGATTTTCTACATTCCTGAAACTTCGGCTTTTTTTTTCTGGATTAGAAGACAAAATATAGAATTTATAAGGATTAATTATTCTAAATTACACTAGAATTTATTAATTTTTAAGCTTGATTTAAATGTTATCCTAGTATTATTTTGCATCACCGTCATATACACTCTTAGAGAAGGGGAAAAAAAGCGACGCACCGCTACGTACCGACAAGACATAAAGCAAACTGGACACAAATTAATATGCATACAGGTTTCGACGGAAAAGGCAAAATTTTACATTTTGGCAGCCAATGAATAAACGGTTGTCAATACAGCGCATCTAATCTGCGGAAATGGCAGGATATTTAAGAGGAGAAATTACGATTCCAGGTCATAAATTCTTCACGAATTTCATTCCGTGTACTCTGGTAGAGAGTAACTATTGCCTCGATTACAGGTGCGCGAACGATATGCGCAGATGTCAGAATTTGAGAGAGGTCGTGTAGTTGGGTCAAAGAAGCCGGTCGGTCCTATCGGCGAATAGCTCGACATTTGAGCAGGAGCGATGCCAATATTAGACGATTTTGGTAGGAATGGGTGAACCATGGCCCCACACAGCGTCAAGAAGGAAGCGGTAGGCCTAGAGAAACGACAGAACGTGAAGACTGAGCAATCGTCAGAGCGGCACTCACAGCCCCAATGCATCATTATCATCGATAGTACGTGCAAATAGTGCTTCAATGACCGCAAGGACCATTCATTCATAGACGGCTCACAGAAAGGGAGCTGGGGTGACGCGCCCCTTGCGCTGACTATCATTGATCTCTGTACAACGTCAAGCCCGTTTGCAGTGGTGTCGGGCTTATTCGCACTGGAATGTCACTGACTAGAGTAGAATAGTATACAGTGATGTGTCCCGCTTTGAACTGGGCCCCGATGACCAGCGAAGGCGAGTCTGAACACGCCCCGGACAGCGGTGTGATACCAACCTGACTGTCTTCCGGCAGACAGGCCGACTACCACGAGTGGTGGTCTGAGGTACCATTTTATTTCAAAGTAGGACCCCTTTGGTTGTCATCCGTCGCAACCTTACAGCACAGAGGTACGTCGACAAAGTTCTAAGACCCGTTGTGTTGCCCTTCATGTCACGCCACCCTGGGCTTACATTTCAGCAAGATAATGCCCACCCTCACACTGCACATGTTTCTACTGCTTGCCTTAGTGCTTGCTGAACATTACCTTGGCCAGCAAGATCGCCGGATCTCTCTCCTATTGAGCACGTTCGGAGCATTATGGGCAGGGCCCTCCAACCCGCGGGATGTTGACGATCTAACGCGCCAGTTGGACAGAATTTGACGCGATATCACTCAGGAGGACATCCGCAACTTCTATCAATCGATGCCAAGCCGAATAATTGCTTGCATAAGGGCCAGAGGTGGACAAACGCGTTACTGACTTTTTCTCTTTGTGAAGCTCTATCACTTCAATAAATCATCCAATTTTTCTCAAACTGTAATCATTTGTTTTTCTGTACATGTACATCACTTCTACCGATTTTCTTCCTATTGGGATAACTCCTTCTTGGTGAGTCGTTTTTCTTTTGTCTAAGAGTGTATATTCATTAAGACCAGCAGGTTATGCATGTTCAGACACATCCAAAACAATTCATAAGTTATCGGAGGTTAATTCACCGTTCATTACGCAAATAGCTGCCTTACTGTTTATTGCTTTTGCGCGAATCCACCTACTGCATTGGAAAATGATTTGCGTTGGTCATAAGCAACATGAAGTCCCACTGTCGTTCCAGATTTGCACATGCCAGTTTCTATAATGATTAACCACGTATAAAAACAGGTGCCAAATTTTAGAGGATTTGATTATGAAAATTTAACAGATGTGGAATATTTTCAGGAGTTTGAACCTTTCAATGATTCAAAGGGCCTGCCAGCAGCCGAACGTAGAGTCGCTGAACACTGGTAGTTCAATCCGAGGCTCGAATCCCGCAAACGGGCAGGCTGCATGGTTGTTATCGTGGTTTTCCCCATGTATAACGTAAATGCTAACCAGTTTCCCTTAGAAAGTCCTCTTTTCCTTTAAGCAGATAGCCCTAGTGTGCTTTGTTGTAATAAACGAAACCATCAATGTCTCAGAGATTTCAAAATTTGTACTTTTCAAAGGAAGTCCCCTAGTTCATACCAGTTATTATTGATGAGTATTCAAGTCTTTAGTTCTGTAAATTCTGGATTTAGGTATCATCAACAGCAATCAAATAAAGCCTGCTGCATTGTAGCCCGTGTTTCTGTCAGTTGTAGTCAACACGATAACTCTTTCGAGAAATACCTACTAATAGGTAAACATGCTCTCAAGAAAAGCACAAATAATCAAAGCTGCGAGCTTTCATTTTTGATATCTGGTATGTTACATTGATTGTTATATAACTGTATCTGCACGATGAGAATGTCAGAAAAATTTCATTCCCTAGGGATGCGGTATTTCTAGCAATACTTTGAATCTTCAGGAGCTTATGGTATTAAAAAGAATTTACCACGTTTTCAGTTACAGCAAAATGGCAGCTAGTCTTAATTTTACGTATATTCTTGGTCGGGAAGTTCACCTGTAATTTATCCGAGAATATTCAAATATGTAAAATGCTAATCTATTGGAACTGGCGGATCCAGCAGGTTATTCTTAACTATTCAGCTTATTATTTACGATACTAGAAACGAAACTGCAGAAACATAACGAAATACATTTCATATAGTTCCTTCTTTTTGTTAGTGTGAAAGCTTTTTATTCTGTTCTAAAATATACTTTTCTTGTTTTCTTTAAAAATTAGTTATTCAAATAGTGTTTCGTAAACATCTTATTTAAAGAACTAACTTTGTTTAAGTCATCCTCAATGGTTATCCTCTTTTTAATTAAAATTTTTAGAGATCTTTTGCACTCAACCAGAGCCACTTGTGAATGGATCTATTCCGGAGGTACAGTCTACCAATATTACAGCTTTCCCTTACGACTTCGAGATCACCTATGTGTGCAACAAAGGTTACCGACTGATTGGTGATAGCTGGAGGCTCTGCAGTAAGAATGGATGGTCCGGAGATGCACCGTACTGTGAAGGTAGGATTTATACCCATGTTTTCTTTCTATTTGTGCAAGCGACTAATATAAGGGGATCTCTTTACTGGCCCACACTTAAGGAATGATAACCGGCATTTTCTGATCACCCTCACTTCCACTAAAAAAACGCGATAAACTGTTGATGGCACAACTCACCATACCTCCAAAAAGATGTTATATAGCAACTCATGATGTCGCCAAAAGTTTTTTAAGTAGCAACTCACGCAACTGCCAGAAAGTATTTATTTGGCAGCCGACGGACCTGTATTGAGCACATTTGTTTTATGGCTATTGTATCCACATTAATTGTCAATGTCACAAGAATATATTCTACAACTCAATTTCCCCATATAGGAAAAGACTGAAATATATTTCTTCCTTGGGCATTGTACACTGTGCTCTGATGTTCTTGATTTTGTGAATAGTGTTAGTTTAATTAAATATTAGACAGTGAAATATGGAATCATATGTTTAATTACGGGATATAAACACGTCATCAATCCGCACACCCTCTTTTTTTTCATAACATCGGAATGTACATTAAAGTTTCAATTGTTCTTGGGCGATCGTATCTGCTGCGCAATGCCAATGCTGTAAGCAATGTCGAAACTGGTTTGGTTTAATTGATTATCGCGCAACATGGCAGGACTATTTGCCTCATATGAAATTATTATGATAATATGAAATTATTTCATGTTATTGTTATTTCATATACAGTGCAAATATTATTAGTAAGGAGCAAAATAAAAGTTTTGAGGAAGGGTATGAAATGTATAGCATTTCTGTTCTTATTTTTTAAATGTCAGCTAAATCGAAAAAATTCAGTAAGTCAATGAAATTTGAAAAATTACCTTCCGTTCCTTAATTTCCTAGATCTCATTTCCATTTTGCTGCCAGAAAGTAAATTTTTACCGCGTGCGATATTCAAATGAGGTAGAAAGAAGAGATTATTTAAATGAAGATTTTTAGAGAGAGAATCAGAGCGCATTCCGCCTGCTTGAAGGACACATTGCTAAAGTGATTCTTTTGCGATTAATATTCTGCGGCGTTGAGTTATTCTGCCATTAGGCTTGTCACATCGACCTTAGGTCAGAACCAACTTGCGTGTTATTCAAATCGTGAAACCGAAAGGCTAAACTTATTTCCTTTAATTTTAGTTCATCCATTATCTTATGCAAAAACTGTTGGCTTCTGTAAGCATGAGTTGGTGCCGTCTGCGTACTTGAACGCCTGTGACAGAAAATAAAAACAAAATCTATTCATAGTCAATAGTTGGTAGAGCCTCCACGAGTGTAAGTTACAGTCTCAACCCTCCGGGGAATGCTTTGCACAAGTCCTTGTCTGACCGGCTATTGATATTTTCTTCCACTTGGCTTTGGAGAACAAATTTAAGTTCCTTCATCGATATTGGAGGGTTGTTGCACTCCTCAATTCGGCAATTCAACTTGTCCTAGAGGTTGTTGGTATAGTTCAGGTATGGGCCCATTGTCACTATACTAATCCATAATGGACTATGCAATATGACAGTTGGCGATATCGTCCTGAAAGTAACATGGGTCTAACGAGTAAAATTGGCACGACGTAGGAAGCACACTGTCATCCTAAATATTACAGTAGTCGTCAGCACTGAGTTTACCATGAATTTGGATCAAGGTTTCAGGCCCGTGTGAAAAGAAACACCTCTAGATCATAATTCCACCTCAGCCGAACTTTACTGTGGGCGCAATGCATTCTGGCAGGACGCAGACGCCAGACCCAGACTCCGCCATCCGAACGTAGAAAGTGAACCTTATTTATATCTCCATACAACCCGTTTCTACGGTTCATTGTCAACATATTTTACACCACATTAACGAAGCAGCACTGCTGGATTTCGTGATCACAGTCTTATGGGCGGCAGCTCGATCATTAAAACCAATTAGATATGCTTTCTTATGGGAATTATTCATCCAAACAACACTCTAGACTGTCTGTTATAATTCCCGGATTATTTGGGCCATGGGTTGGGTGCGGTTCATCCGAAATTCTCTCATGACAGGGAGCTTACTAAAGCTATGTTCACTAATTGTAGTAAGTAGACAGGATACACAAGAAGGGTATACAAACCCTTTATTTTTCACTCTTTACAATGATTTCCGTACTTCGGAATACAATGACCAACTACTTGTGGTCTGAACGTAAGAATATAAAATATAAAAACTATCAAATTTAACTTTAGAATAATAAACAAGTGAAGATTGGCCTTATAATTAACAGGAAGCGTATGTAGCACAGAGAACTGTGAACACTACAATACGTTTAAAATTATCAAGAGGATTAAAACCTTCTGGCCTGGAAGGCAACCGCAACCGAGTAACTTCTAAGGCAAGCGGCCTGCTTCGACTAACTCTTCCTCTCTCTCGCTTGGCAAAAAGCCACAACTTAAGTACTTGGCGTTCGCCAGACAAATTTTGCATAAATAAGTTAACGCTTTTAATTCTGGCCGGAAGTAGAAAATAAGAAGTGATAGTAAAGATTTAAAATAAAATAAACGTTAGTAAAACTTAAGATCCTTACAAATGATGTCAGAATATTTAGGAGTTTTAGCCACAAGAGCGCGTAATTTATTTCTATGTAATCCGGGCTAAAGAAACGTTGTTCAGTTTGAAATACATGATATTGTTCAAACTTTTAAATGTTGTTACTTAATGTCTATTTTGTTACCTAATTTCTTTATATCTAATGATCTTTCTTCTTCCATTATTTACAATATGTTATTTTTGTTTTGAATACCGATTAGTTTATGCAATCAAATTAAATTTTTCCTCAGAATAAGCTGTTTGAAAATATGATAATTATACTTTTAAAATTTTTCTATTAATTGCTATATGAGTTGTTTTTCTTTCCATTTTATTTGATATCAGACTAATGTGATTTTGAATTAACTATGGTCTTCGTCTTTTGTATAAGTTAGGAATTGACTACAGCAGCATTGAAACTACGATTCATCAAGTTGGTATTCCAATGGTAAAACTACATAGCTATAACGGCGCAAGGCGTGAGCCTGATTATTAATAACTACTTTTTCCCTCTGTTCAGTTTTTGTAATATATTTAAAGAAAAGACAACGGAGTAAGAGAAAGTATTCTAGCAGAACAGAGAAGCTGAATAGAAATATATAAATTTCATTGTGATAGCATGAGAAAATATTTGTTTAACTAAATTTTACCGTATTGAATGCCGTGATTAAGCAGATTAAGCAAAAATGTTAAATTAGAAATATTGCAGAGAATTTTATTATCTTAATATAATTTTATTATCTTTATTGGCTGTTAAAGACTACTGCTTTATTTTAGAAATAACCCTTTAATTAATGATGAGTTACAGAGTTTTATTTAGTTAGACAGCTTACTCACTCAAAATAATGTAACACCAATGAAGAAATATCAATCATTCATATGTGAAGATATTTATTATAGTAGACCAAGGATTGTAAGGCAAATCAGTGCCTTAAACACAAAATCTTAGTTACACGATGGACATCTGTCAGTCACCTAAAAATAAGGAGGAATTAACAAAGTTCGTTTGTACTGACTATGATTAAGTCAGATTAGAACAACCATGACACTATCACAACCGATGATAGTGGCCCTGTCCAGCTAGTCTATCTCTCTCCATCAATGAAATTTGCCTAATATTTGTAAAATTTTTAGAAGAACTATTTGAATTAATGAAGAATAGTTATTCTTAAGAAAGTAAATCAAAATATTTATTTTATTTTTATTCATTTTATTTTTGCCGCCGCTTATCCATAACATGGCCACTTGGACACTAAAGAATATCAGTAGATACTGCAGCACGTACAGTCTTCATCTCAAATCTAAAGAAAGAAGTGTTATTCTCTTTATATTCATTGGATGGAGTTTGATAAATCAAAAGTATTATTTTTGTTATCCCAGTTTGTTATCCATCTTGAAGCAAATTTTCGTATCAGGTATTTCCAGCCCGTAACAGATGCTTCATACGCAACGACCGACGGAAGAAAGGTGAACTAAATAAATCCTCCTCCTCCACTTCTTGTTTCTCGACCTTCAGTGAAAGAACTGGTAAGGACAGAATTTCTCCTCGGGGTGCGCAAACGATATCGATGAATGAACCTTGTCGTCACATCATACTATCACATCATCAAAGCATCATACTCTCTCTTGTTTGTTGAAAATTCCGAAACACTTGAAATGCTTGTATTACTCTAACGTCCAAAGACATTAAAAATTGGTCATACCTTCTTCCTTGACCACCACTATCTTTGTATCACTAAATTTTACATAATATCATAAGTACAACATAAATCTTGAACTTAACAAAATGAAAATTAAATTTAGCAAGAAACATTTAAAAGATCTATCTCTAACTGTCCACATGCATTAACTTAGATACTACGATGAACCTAGCGAATTCTCGCACAGGCATGAAATAAATACCAGCTCAGAAGAAGGGTGAAAATAACCCTTTATTAACTCAAACTAAAATAATATACAGCACGGACTTCGTGCTTTAGAAAAACACCGTTCACTCTCTCTTTTTCTTTTTCCCTTTCTTTAATTCAGTCGCCCTAGGGAAGTCTGTACCAGCCTGAAACTGTCTAAACGGGCAGAGGTAAGTGTGCGCTCTGTTACATCTGTACCGGACGAAAGATTTCTAGAATTGCAGAAATTTAATCCACTACATAATTAAGAATTTACAACTCCGTATAATATTTTTTTGGTACACTCAGCTAACAAGAAGAACAAACTCGATAAAAATGCTATCAATTTTCCATATTAAACCTCAGTTAAATCTTTTCCAATAATTTACTAACGATTTCTTTTTGTTTTATTTTCGTCTGAGTTTCGAATTACATAATCATCATTGCGAAGGAGTTTATTATTTTGAAAGATGCAGTGTACTTTGATTGTAAAATATGAGGAGGTTGTTTAGCTTTTAAAAATATTTATTTCCAAATCAAAATTTGGTGA